AGAACTCTATCTCTCTCTTTAGAATATCTTTTACACGGGGTTAATTCAATGATATGAAATCTTTCTGCTATCATTTTAGTTTAGATTCTGCAATTGTGTCTAATTATATTTCTATTTCCATTCAGCCCCGTTGTCTAAGCGCCATTTCGGTAGCCAAGCAAGTGGCCTTTGAACGCGGCGAAGGCGTTGGCGATGTAGTCGGGTACGATCTGCGATTCGAACGACTTCTGCCTCGAAATCCTGGATCAATCGTGTTTACGACACCGGGAATGTTTCTCCGTTCCTCGCTGCAGAAGCGTAGGCTGGCAGGTTAGGGTTAGATTACTTCACGCATACACACACACACGCAGCGCAAAGAGATTAAGATGTTCAATGAGCTCATGAAGCCTCTAAGGACAAGGTACCAGTGCTGTAGCACTGTGATACCTGGTGTATTTATTCAGTCGGTTGGAAAGAATCCTTTTATTGATCATCTGACGGTTGTGGTTACGAGAGTTCAGACGTTCACTTTTCAAAATCAAAGCAGTTTCCTTATTTGCGTCATTGACAGTTGCTCCTTTGTAAAGAAGCAGATAGCGAAGTGCCTTAACAAACACGAATGGCAATGCCTGTTGTAGGATTTATTCTATAATTATACTTATCAGATGGGTCAAGGCGAACTGCAACCGGAAGTTGTATGCATCAAACTACATGGCCGCTTAGGCATGCACCCATCAGACAGTAGAGCTCTCACGCTTTAGGATGACAACACCAACACACCATGCTGGTCCTATTATTCGCAGGTCAGCGATATGCTACCCTTGTTTTTACTTGTTGCACAGTGGGGTTAGTTCCTTGCTCAAAAGAATTAGCTGTTAATAAGAGAAAATTTACGCCGCATTCGGTGTTTTAAACTCTGAAGTACAACGTAAGCTACTAGCACGTTGCACTGTTGTTCCCACTTTCCAATATGGATGCTAATGAGTTATCATATTGGTTCACATGTGTATAGTTTGAAGTGGTACTTGACATAGCAGATATCTGGATTGGGCATTCTACAGAGAGCAGAATTTTACTGTGTATATTCAGGTTTTAATAAGCTATAGCAGTCATTAGATAGGACGTGTTTTACAATAGAATATATACAGATTTATCACGAAACTGACTGTGTGTGTACGACTGATACATTCATCTTACATGTAACTCCTCATGCAGATTGACTGACCGTTTATCTGGCAGTTAAAAATTTTTACCCTAAGGTGACTGCTGATTTTTGGTATATTACATTATATGTTATATTCTTAAGCATGAACTACCGATTTATCATATGTGACTTTAGTCCTTCCTGCTTTAGACCACATAACAATGTTTTTTAGGCATTTCACATCTGATAATTGACGAGGTGCATGAGCGCGATAGCTTTACCGATTTTACGCTGACATTCATCAAGCAGCTACTTCCTTCCATTCCAGACATGAAGGTGATTTTAATGAGTGCTACGATGGATACGGACCAGTTTTCCAGATACTTCGACGAGTAATTCGCAGCAGCTAGATTAAGTTTGAACCGTTGAACGCATCTTACTTTGCAGCTGCCCTGTGGTCACTATCAGTGGGCGAAACTTTGACGTCGAGGAGCATTTCCTTGAAGATATCCTGCCGATGACTGGCCAGAAAATGACGCTCGATGATTGCAGAAAATTTCTGACGTCGCGACAGACGAACGTTGGTCTGGTCGCCGACCTGCTGACGTGGATTAGCAAAAATAGAGAAGTAATTGTTGTTTAATAATGAAATCATTTGTATTCACTGTATCACACTGTATTCATTTCTGCAAAGAAATATTTAAGAGATATTAACAAGCGTTAAGAAACTGTTTGTGACATAATTCGACGAAGGGCTATCTCAGGATCTTCTCCGTTTCTGACCACTGTCTCCTTGTAACTTAGGTGCTACAGGGCCTGATTATATATGCAGTGGTTCCACTCCTTAATGTACTTGCACGTCTGGTTAACCAGTATCTGGAAATTGCAAGGTATGTAATAATTAAACTGTTACATTACTCTTAGACTGGTGTTTTCTGGCAAGATAGAGGCCAGTACCCGTGCTTAGACAATTGAGATCATCAGTTTCTGTGAATGTTCTATTACGGTGGTTTAATAACGAATTGCTTATATATTTGCATTCGCATGTCAGGCTTAGAATTTTAGGTTATACATGTTTTATGACTTGTATAAAGTTGAACCTTGTAAGTAACCGTTGTATGAACAGAGCTTTTATATAATTTCACTTCAGGACGGCGACATTCTTTGCTTCTTGCCCAACTGGGCTGATATAAGCCAAGTGGAGTGTATTCTTCGGAGTTCTTCCTTGGTCTCTGACGTCATCGTATTGTGTT